GGTGCAGTAGGATTCCCCCATTCTGGGTCAACAGATTGTGGCAGTTCAGAGGGTATTGGGGGGGCAGGGGAGGCTGGAGAAACAGTCTAGAGAGATAAGGAAACCATGTCTGACTGGACCAGGAGGGGACAATGAGGATTATTCGAGTCCCATCCCTGCTGATCACCTTGAGGATTTTCGGAATGAGAGGGATTGGCAAATATGCATAAAATAGCAGGCCACGCCACTTGACTGGGAAGGCATTTCCCAACGATCCATGTTCCACACCCACTCTGGAACAATACTGCAGGCATCTGACATTGTCACAGGAAGCAAATAGGTCTACATGGGGAAATCCCCATCAACAGAAAATGGACTGGAGCACTTGGTGATGAATTTCCCACTCGTGGTCTATGGCAAAGTGCCTGCTCGGAGCATCTGCTGTAGTTTTGTTGATGCTGGGTAGGTACGATGCAATTACAGTTAAGTTGTTGCGGATGCACCAGTTCAATAACCAAATCACTTCGGCACAGTGGGATCAAGATCGGGCTCCCTGCTGCAGACTGATATAGTACATTGTTGCCATGTTGTCAGTAAGTATTCCGACAGTGCGCTTGTAAATGTGTGCATGGAAGTACTTGCAAGTGTTGACCACCGCTCGTAATACGGAGAATTGTTTTGCAGTTGCATCGTCAACCCCATTCAAGTGAGGGGGCATCTGTAATGATTTGCACCGATGGCTGATCACGGTGGAATGGAACCCTCCACCAGAAAATAGTCTGGGTTGGTCCACCACTTGAGGGAAGCAACCACATTGGGTGGAAGAGACTTGTTCGTGAATACAGCACTAGGAAGGGACGCATACTGATGCCAGCCAATGATGATGAAGACAACGAAGGTGCAGCTGTGCATGGTACATGGCGTAGGTTGTTGCTGCCATGTGGCCCATAAGCTGGACATAGGTAAATAATGGTATGGTGGGGTCATGGTAACGGTCATGACAAGGTCCTGTATAGACTGGAATCTTTGCATCGGTAAACAGGCACAGGCAGTAGTGTAGTCCAGCCATGCGCCTATAAAGTCCAAAGTCTGTGGAGCCTGAAACATGGACTTTTGCTCACTGATAATGAGTCCAAGCGACCTGAATATATTTCTGGTCATGTCTATCATATTGTGTGTTTCCATGTAAGATGGACCATTTATAAAGACAATCAGACACAGGGGAAAATCATAATGCCCCATTAATGTAGATATGCTGCAACTACTGCGAGTGTCTTTGGAAACACTCTGGCTGTGTCTAGACTGGCAAGATCTTGCTGCCTGTCTACACTGGCCGCAAGTATTTGTGCAAGAACATGGACTTTGTACTGTAGAAAATCAGTGGTTCTTGCGCAAATACTTTGACGCTCCCGCTCAGGGATAAGCTGTCTTGCGCAAGTATTCTTGTGCCAGAGGGCCAGTGTAGACAGCCAAGTTAATTTCTTGCGCAAGAAAGCCCGATGGCTAAAATGGCCATTGGAGCTTTCTTGCGCAAATACTTTTAACGTAAAAACTTTTCCGGGAAACAAAGAACAACAAAATGGAGGCAGGAAAACTAAAATGGTAATACAAGATAAATGAGAAAGGCACAACAATCAAATTCTATTTTATTAAACTGAACTATTAGGCTTAGTATTATTAAACCAAAAGAGCAATACAAACAAGTAGTCATTTAAAAACAACATAGTGATTGTGGTTCTGTTTAGCTAGTGCATAGTAATCACGGGAAACAAGAGATCCTGGCCTGTTTAGCAGGATTGGAATAAGTGAACCAAGTACTGTACTGTCTTTCAGGATTCCCCTAGGTAAAATCCATTACCAGAGTAGAGTTCAGACTCAACCGGAGAGGGATTTATTTTAAGATATGCCTTTGAAGAAAATACAAATACCCCATTTGTCAAATGCTACTCTCTGCAAGCCAGCAAAGAGGTCTCCGTCCCCAGAGACCTAGCGATAAGGCAGACGTGGATGACTAATATGAAGTGCTCTTACAACTGTTAGAGTAGTGCCACAGACTTGCATTAACACTATGGTGACCATATTTCCTGAACCAAAAATGAGGACACATGATGTAAGGGCCCTACCATCAGTCAAACGTTAGTCATGCCCCCTGCTCTCTTAGGCCCCACCCACCTGCCACAGGAAGTCCCACCCCTAGGGGGAGTACTTCTGGGGTCAAGATGGACACACGACCAGAAATAAAGGGCACTATGGGCAAGATGTGTGTGATAGTGTTGTACATAGGGGCAGGATATAGGAGTAGGCTCTGGTGGCACAACAGGTTGTAGGGGGAACTGGGTGTGGCACTGTGGGCAAGAGCTGGGTGTGGACAGAGGCAAAGTGTGTGTGGTGGCATTGGGCAGGAGGGACTGAGCAATGCGGAGCTGGGGTGGATGCTGAGCTCCTGTCACTCAGGAGCGCTCAGGGCCAGGGGGAAGGCACCCACCTACGTCGCCTTGTGGCATTAGCCCAAGTTTCGGCGGGGGCAGGATGGGCTTGTGGACTCAGCAAGGGTCCTTGAGCCAGCGGTGCCACAGGTCGTACAGCTGCTGCAGTCATAGCTTCTCCTCGAGGGTGTACAGGTCACACATTTTAGTATGAGCCCTGGTCCATACAGCCCCCCGATCTTTCCTCTACTCTGTATTACAGGTCAGTGCTAAAAGCTCATGCTGCAAAGGGTCTAAAACATTTGTTGCTTAAATATGAAAATAACCTGCAGTTTGGTGTTAGCTGTGTCAAGCCAGGCCGTGAAGACGATCTGTCCCCTGCTCCACCAGGGACAGGACCGGCGGTTGTTCTTCCAGCCCCTCAGCCACGCTGAAAATGCAGCGCAGTGACCATCCCACCATGTAGCCTGCCAGGCTGAGCCCCTTCCCCTACTCTGCCCCGCACCGCTCACCCACTCAGCAGTCGATGCAGGAAGTGCAGCACATTCAAGGCACCGCTGGCCTTGGCCACTCCCATGCTGCTGTTGCCTGGCTTGGCTGCCCCACTTGAGCTCCCATGCCCTTTGACACCACGCCTTGGCAGGAGTCCAGGCCTGGGCTGGAGCCACTGCCAGGTCCACCCTGCCCGGAGGCCACGGGGGAAGGGCCAGGTCAGACACTTCTGGCCACACCAGGGGCTCCAGCTGGAGGCCCTCAGCCCTGGGCTTTCAGGGACATTTCACAGCTTTATGGGGACATTGGGACAGGAGATTCCGATTTAGGACTATCCCGGAAAATCCGGGATATATGGTTGGCCTAATTAACAGAGCATTTGCTGTCTTATCCTTTATGCTGCAAAGTCACACTTGTGAGGAATCCAAGAACAACTTACGGGTCTAGATATCCATTTATCCACTTCCCCTTTGTATCACCCTACAGCTGTTAGGATCTAAGACTGTATTTATACAGCTCACAACAATGCCTTGCAACAGCTCACAGCTGTATCCTGTTACAAGCCATTCCCAGGCACATCACAAGTACCAAAATATTAACCTGTTCCAGTAGGGGCTGGAATTTAGTGATAAACTATAACAGTTTTGGAGTCACTAATGTAACCAAAAAAGACTGCTTTCGTATTTCCTTTCCAGGTTAATTTCAAGCTATAGGCGTAGACTCACTGTTTCTCAAAGTTAATTGGCTTCAGCTTTAATCCAACATAAACCATAAATTATCTACTGGATCAGTCCTTTCAAAAATGTATGAATGGCCTCATTCCAAATAAGGTAAATGCGAATTTCCCAACCCAGTCAATCTTTTCCAAAGTACTCAGACCCACCAAGCCTCATACTGACTGCATTGCCTGAGTAGCACAGAGCACCATATATATTGTGGCTTAAAAGAACTCATGAATGCACTGCCTCTTTCCTGCTTTTTTGTCAGTTAGAAAGGGAGATTATTCTACGTCATTAGATAAGACTAATGGGGCTAAATTGGGGATTTTCAAAAGGCACTAAAGGAAACTGGGTGCCTTTGAACATCCCAGTCTGAATATGTATGGGTTGGCTCAGCAGTAAACAGTGATACAAGGAACACAAAGGATATCTACTAATACGTGAGGGTGTTAATATAAAATAGGGAACGAGTTGTTTATGGCAGAGCAAGGAGATATAATTAGAAAGGTGAGTTTCTGGACAAGAATCATCATCAAGGCATTGAAATAATCTTACATGGGATATAGCAGAAGTCCCATCGCTTCAGAGATTTAAAACTAAACTAGACAAGGTTCTACCAAAAGGAAAAAAATCCTACACTGGCAGGAGGAAGGATGAGAACTAACAAGAGATTAAAGATAGAAAAGGCCTTTGATTCTAAAACAATGTGTAACTCATAAACCTTCCAAATTCTAGCCACATACCAAAGATACTCAGTGGTATGTGGCTGGATAACCCCACTCTTGGGTCCCAGTACCCTGCTCAGCCCTTAATCTGGCAGTTTCAATACTGCACTTAGCCCTTGGCAGCATTTGAGCTCTGGTCCCTCAGCTACAAAGGGCATTGGGGCAAGTGCCCTGGGATCAGCCTGGGCTGTGAAAACAGTTCTCTCCAGCTCCCAGCTGGGTTCTCAGGCTGCCTGGAAAAGGAGTGCCTGAAACCCGGGTTTGGAGCTCCTCCCCTCCCCTTTGCTGTCTCTGGCAATGTTGCCGTTACCTTTCTTAGTTTCTTGTTCTCTTCCTATCTGCTCTGGTCTCCTCTCACTCCACTTCCTCTCCCACTCTCTCTCCCTGCAAGGAAAGCTTCCTTTTAAAAAGCAAGGGAGTTTTCGGTTAGATATTAGGAAAAGCTTGCTAACTATAAGGACAATCAACCTCTGGAATATACTTCCAAGGGAGACTGTGGAGTCCCAATAATTGGAAGTTCTTAGAAACAGGTTGGACAAAAACCTGTCAGGGATGGTTTAGCAATAGACAAGTGGCTGAATTAGATTTCTAAAGGTTCATTCTAGCCTATGTTTCAATAATCATATGGTTGGGTTTCAGTTTTCAAAGCTGTTACCTACACATCATTGAATTCTTCCAGTGACTTAGCAGGTGTGAACACATCCAACAGACCAATCACCTACAAAGAAAAAAAAAAGGCAAAAAATGAGAAAACTGGTAAATATATTTGATAATATATTTGTAAGTGTTTTTAGTTCCTGAACTGGAGTAGAAAAGATTCATTCCAATTAACTTTTTTCTTCAAAACACACCAACAGGTCAGGGGAGGAGGGAAGAAATTAGTTTTCATGATCCTGAATACAGGTTATGTTCTTGTGGGGAAAAAAATTCTGAAGTTGTAATACATAAGGTTACCATTTTTACTACAACCAACCATTCAAAGAATCAAGTAGGGAAGGTTAAAAAAAAATCAAGTAAGGCAAATTAATACTGTTGCTTAACACAACTGCTAAATTCAGAGGTGAAAGTAAGCCAGTACGGGCCAGTACAGCATACTGGTAAGAAAGTGGCCAAAGTAGCTATGGCACTGCTTTAACTTGGCTGTGTAGTTGTAAGCTTCAGCACTAGGGAGAACTGTCTCAGAGCTATAATAAAATCACCTCCACAAGGGGAATGGCTCCCAGGGTGTGTCTAGGCTACAGGGGTTTTTTTTTTGAAAAAGGGGGCCTTTTTTCGAAAAAATTTCCTCTGCGTCTAGACTGCTGCCACATTCTTTCAAAAGTAAATCAAAAGAACGTGGCAGTTTTTTCGACCGTGGAAAACCTCGTTTTACGAGGAAGAACGTCTTTTTTTGAAAGTGTTCTTTCGAAAAAAGGCGCTATGTAATGCAAACTGTGCTTTTTCAAAAGTACCGGATGTAGTCTAGATGCTCTTTTTCAAAAGAGGCTTTTTCAAAAATATCTTTCGAAAAGCCTTTTGAAAGAGGCTTGCAGTCTAGACGTAGGCCCAGTGCTGTAGTACTGTCTACACTGCCGCTTTACTGTGCTAGAACTTGAATCAGTTGGGGGAGGGGTGTTTCTTTATACCCCTGAGCAAAGAAAGTTTCATCACTGTGAGTGGCAGTGTAGACAAGCTCTCTATATCAAAGTCATTCAAAAGGATCCATGAAGTTAAGCATGGAGGTAGGAAAGGGGGTTGCAATACGACCCTACCAGTCAAATTTAAATTAAAGTGACTTTCATCTCAGCTATATTCAGTGTTGGTGTAGTCACATTGGTCCCAGGATACTACGAGACAAGGTGGGTGTGATAATACCTGTTACTGGGGAGAGAGAATTTTTCACGCTTACACAGAGCTCTTCTTCAGGTTTAGGAAAGATACTCAAATTGTCACTGCTAAATACAAAGTGGAACGGGTAGCATAAGAAACTGACACATATGGCAAGGGACTATTCAAGGTGAAACTGACAATTAAAAACCCCTCCATGTCACAGGGAGGAAAAGGGAAAGCAGCAAATGGGGTAGAGGTTTGTTAATGGGTTACAGATTTTTATAGTAACCCATAAATCCCATGTCTCTATTCAGTCCACGATTTTTGGTGTCTAGCAAAGTTATGAATTTAAGCTCCCTGGGTCATCTTTTGAAAGTGTTGTGCAAGTTTAAAATGCTACCTGAAATACTGGACAATCTGTTAGGGAGGAGGAAAAGAAAACAGCAGATAACAAAGTCTAATTACAAAACAAAATGCTTTTGAAGACCGCATAATTGAGAAAACACGTAAGTGTTGTTTTAAAAATCAAAATAAATTGAATTGAGAAGTACCGATACTTTCCTCCTAAATTAAGTTATTGGTGGAAATAATTCTAATATTATTTTGATCCAAAACACATTTAAGATGCCAGACACCAAGATGGTATTGTTGAAAAACTAGATATCAAATGTGGCATAACTAAAACACATACAGGTATGGACTTATCTTTGTTAACTATTTGTTAATTATTGGCTTTGTCACTCCATGATGTTTTATTATAATGCCTGATTATTTATGTTATTTGCTATCTGCATATAAAGAATGGTAGTAATTTTGTATTTTTAACTATATTTAAAGTGTGTACAACAGGATGTCGTTAGGTTTTTTTTTTAAATAAAATAATCCAAGTCAGAGTCTGTAAAACATTCTTCAAGTCCAGTGTTCATTCTACTCTATGGCCTATACAAGGATTTTAATACAGAAGTTCTTTGCCCTAATAGGGATGTAATAGCGTAGTCAATTAGCCTATTAACTAATAGGCAAAAGCTTATAAGACAATGCTATAGACTACACACATTTCCCCATTTTCTCCCCCCACCAGTAAATATTTTAGCAGGCTGGTCAGCAGCCCAGCTCAGTCCTGGCTTGCAACTGGTCCAGGATCTATCCTGCTGTGTCTCTGCATTTAAAGTGTATTAGGAACCAGGTGGGCAGAAAACGTGGCTCAGTTCTGGCCGGCACCAGATCTGGGAGCTCAGACCTCCGCCTGGACTGGGTCTGTATTAGAGACAGTAGCATGGGGCAACAGGCAGCAAGCCGGTCCATGAGGAGAGCCGGTTTTTAAACTGGCTCCCCTTGAGGACCAACTACTGCCTGGCACCCCACGTTGCTGCCTCTGATACAGAGAGAGTAGCGCAAGTGGCAGGGGTCTCCTCGGGAATGAGGCCAGAATGCACTGGCTGCCAGCCTGCCCCCAAGTACTATAGAATAGTCAAATAACCAATAAGAATTCATGAGGTTTATTGACTATCCAACTAGTTCTCAGAATTGAGGTTCATGGTTTCCCATAGGCCAGATTTACTTTTCTGGAGTTCCAGAGTTAGTGGATTTTGTGGACTCCCTTAGGCTCTGGGGTAGGAACAAAAATGAGGCGCTCACTGTGAGGACAGAGCTGCCAGCGAGTGGGATAGGGATGCAGGATCTGGGTGGAAGGTGGGGTGCAGGGTTTGGAAGGGAGTTTAGCAGCAGGAGAGAGTGTGGGGTGGGGGTATGAGAGGGATTTTGGGAGCAGGAGAGGTTGGGGGAATAACGCAGAAAAGGTGAGAGGATGAGAATGTAGCCAAATAGCTAATTGGGGAAAAGAGGCAAAGAAGGGGGGAGTAAAGGAAAGTGCAGCTTCTGCAGAGTAAAATTGTATCCCATCCCTCCCCCAACATCTTCCCTCTGCTCCAGCCTCGCTCCCCTCGGCCCCATGATTCCCACCAGCCTGATCCCCTGCATTGCCCCATGTGCCTAAGTGCAACCTCTGCCCCCTCCCATCCTGCCCCCCGGCATCCTTCTTCACCCTCTCCCCTTCTGTCACCACATCCCTGTGCTCCCAGCGCACTCACCGGCAGGACAGCAGCGCTGGGACTCGCAGCCTCCGGGGAGCAGCACTGGGGGGAGGAGGGGTAGAGGACGGAGTCTCTTCCCTGACTGGCCCAGCCCTTTGCTTATAAGTTGAGAGATGAAAACTAGCCCCCTTGTTTCACCACTGGAATAATAGGGTGAGGGTCACCTTTGTTAATGTACTAGTTAAGAGCTCTAAGATCAAGGATTTGATGCCATCCTCCACTTTTCTTCTCTGTGAGAAATGAGAATAGAACCTCTTTCCTATGTATTGGGTTGGAACAGGTTCTATAGCTTCAAACTTGTGGAGGTGCTGGCTCTCCTGGTGAAGCAACTTGTGAGAGAGGTCCCTGAAGAGTGATGGGGTAGGAGGCTGGTTAGAGGATAGACAGGTAAAGGGGATGGTATTATCCTAAACATATTGTCTGCCCATTTGTCTGAGGTGGTAAATATGGTCACCGTCTCCTCCTGTTTTACCATAATTGGAAAAAATTAAGTTTAAAAAGGGAAAAGTGCTCTAGGATTACTATCTAAGTAACCAGGAAAAACAACTACTTATCTAGCTAAAACCTTGACAAAGAGAAGTTTTCTTTAGGAACACTGCAGGGTTCCATCTCTGGCTGGGAACGGTACAGAAGGAACTAGGGAAGGGGAGAGGAGTGTGCATGAGCAACATCACGACACCAAAGGCATGCGGGCCAGACATCATGCCTACGCAGGCCGCAAGGGAACTGTTCTAAAAGACTTCGATCAGTTGCGCAGGAGCTCACCAACTTTGGAGCCTCTGACAGGCGATCCTGACTGGTTTGGCTGGGAAGCTGTCAAGTGCTGGCACTTCAGTTGCCCCTCAACCCACTGTCCTGCTGCTCCTACCCTCTGCCTTGGAGCAGCCCCTAGGGAGCCTCCTGCTCACTGTGCATGGTGTGGGAGAGAGAAGGGGGTGTGGGGTGCTGATGTCAGGGTGTCTCCCCTCCCCCCACTCCTGTACTCTGTCTCCACACAGAGAGAAGGAGATGGAGGGAGCTTGGCAACACAAATCTGTCACACTCACACTGTGTGTGTGTGTGTCATTCTCATAAACACACACTGTCCTTCCTTCTCCTCTCCTTACCCAACACATACACAGCTGGGGGGGGGGACGTTGTTACTACTTTTACTGCTTGCAAAGTGGATTCTGAAAGAATTACTGAAAGAATGTGGACACATTAGAGAAAGTCTAATGGATAGCAACAAAATTGATACTAGGCGAGGCTGAGGGATCCGAGCTTATTTACAGAAGAGATGAGTGAGGGGGGATTTAATAGGAGCCGTTAACTACCTCAAGGGGGATTCCAAAGAGGATGGAAAGAGGCTGTTCTCAGTAGTGACAGATGACAGAATGAGGAACAATGGTCTCAAGTTGCAATGGGGGAGGTCTATGTTGGATATTTGGAAAAACTATTTCCCTAGGAGGGTGGTGAAGCACTGGAATGGATTACCTAGGGAGGTGATGGAATCTCCATCCCTAGAAGTTTTTTAGTCCTGGCTTGGCAAAACGCTGGCTGGGATGATTTAGTTGAGATTGGTTCTGCTTTTATCAGGGGGTTGGACTCTATGACCTCCTGAGGTCTCTTCCAACACTATGATTCTTGAGTCTATGATTAGATCTACTGCATATCCCTGGTTTCAAGAATAAGTTATCAAAGAAAGATACCAATTTAGTCTGGCAAGATATTCTTTTCTTCCAAATTTATTCTAAAGATTTGCATAGTATTGAGATCAGACTAACTGATCTATAGTTGTGTGCATCTTTCTACCCTATCAACATTCTTAAAGATAAAT